GGAGTGGGGGTGGAGGAGGGGAGTGGTGTTGCTGGGGGGGGGGGGGGAATCACCAGACTTCATTCACACAAGGTCTGAGTCAGAGATTCTTTATTGTCATTCGCACCACATGTGGTACATGTGGTGGAGCGAAATGATGTACACAGGGTCCCAGTTACATCCAACAATAAAATGTAAAAGAAAAACAACGATAACATCCAAGATATGAACTAAGAAAAACATCAACTAAAAATGCACTAATAGCATAAAAACATTACGTTGAACAGTAGCACGAACATGAGCATGAGCATGAGTCTGTGTGAGCAGATGTGCACACATGAACACATCAACATGAAACATATCGGCAGCAACATGAAACAGATCAGCAGCAACATGAAACAGATCAGCAGCAACATGATGTGATTTTTCACAGTGATTATTCTGGTTAGAGATTCATGAGTCTTAACAGCCTCTGGGTAGAAGCTGTTCCTCAGTCTAGTGGTTCTACACTTAATGCTCCTCAACCTCCTGTCTGAGGGGAGCGGGGCAAAAAGTGTGTGTGCTGGGTGAGTGGGGTCCTTCATGATGCAGGTGGCACTTTTCCTACATCTGGAGGTGTAGATGTCTGTGATGGTGGGGAGACTGACTCCAACAGACTTCTGTGCAGCCTTCACCACTCTCTGCAAAGCTTTTCTTTCTGCAGCTGTGCAGCCTCCATGCCAAGGTCATGCTTTGTGCTGAATCACAGCTTTATTTTGACTCGCATTAAGAGGCGCTGGCCTCAACATTAACAGTGCCAGCTGGGTCGATCAAGAGCAACCGATGAAGATCCTCGTCAGAGCAGAGGAGGTCCAGACTTCAGAATATCCTAACCCCTGCAGGCGCCGTTTTGAACCCATTACAACCTAAAAGTGAGAGTGGTGATGCTTTCAATGAGCCTGTGCTACAGCAGGGATGCCCAGTCCTGGTCCTCGCAGACCACTACCCTGTGATAGAGGTTCCTCTGCTCCATCACCTGTTATGAGTCAATGGTTGATTACCAGGCTTCTGCAGAACACGAAGAGGTAAATCAACCACTGAGTGAGGTGTGTTGGAGCAAGCAAACTGGTAAAACGTTTAGGATAATGGCCCCCAGGACCTGGATTGGACACCTGTGTTACAGTGTTAATGTCAACTTTAATAAAAGCGAACAGATCTGTTTATTGATTTGTGTTGGAAACAGGTCACACAGCAGACAGTTTACTTAAATGAGATAAGATAAATGCTCAACTAACATCATGTCTTTATTATAGTTTAATTTAGAGTTTATTGTCTTATAATAAATGCTGAAAATGAACATTTTTAAGTTATAAATAGGTTTTAATACAACTGTCGTGCTGTTTGTGTGTTGGTGCATTTTTTGTTTTACCAATAAAAGTATTTTAAAATTTAAAGACACCTTTGAGTTAAAAGTTCACTTTTTATTTTATTTAACATTATAATAAAAGTCCACTTCCCTGAATGTGTTTGTAAATGTGTAAAAACATAAAGTTTTATAATAAACTCTTTAATTTTTTTATGTTTTGTTTCTTGCAGAGCGTTGTCTCGAGGACCACGAGCTGGTGGTTCAGGTCCAGGCCTCCATGAGCAGCGACAGCAGATTTCTCTTCAGGAAGAACTATGCCAAATATGAATTCTTCAGAAACCCTCTGGTTAGTTCACCTTTTGTCATTGTTTGTGGTCTGTTAGCGAAATATCTACTAAACTACTGGATGGAGTTTAATGAAACACTCGGAATGTAATCAATAGATATACATCTACAACTGATTCAAGATGGCTGCCACAGACGAACACAAAAGTTAGTCAGATTTACAGACATGGGGCTAAAATTTGATATAGTAGTAGCTGAGAGTCATCCCTAACGCACACACTGAGCGCGAACAGATCCTGCAAGACTTTTGTCAAGTGGCAGGTGAAATGCATTCCTTTCGTGAATGCTACATTTCATTTTTCTCAACAAATTAATTTACAGTGTCACCAGCGACAGATTATTTTTTAAATATACAACATTGACTGAAAAACAGAGACCCCATATTTGTGCCCCTTGTCGTGTATGGAAATGAAAAAACCCTTCTTCCCTCTGTGCACTTTGTGACCATACCTTGAAAAACAAGTGACATACCAACTTGGTGTGTGGCTGCATTAGGCGTAAGATGGCCACCACATGCATGTGTGCCTGTTTATTTTTATGTACTGTATGTATGTATAACAGAACTGTTCAGAGATTTAAAAACATACAGAAGGATTTTAAAATGAATTTGAAAGTGAATCGGGAGCCAGTAAAGGGAAGCCAGAACTGGAGTAATGTGCTCTCATTTGCATGTACCAGTTACAAATCGAGCTGCAGCATTTTGGACCAGTTGTAAATGTGCAATAGAGGTCTGACTGATTCCAAACAGAAGCACATTGCAGTAAAAGAGCCTGGATGTTATGAAAGCATGTATTACTGTCTCAAGATTACTTTTGGACAGTATGGGCTTCAATTTAGACAGTCGCCTTAAGTGAAAAGAAGACAGGATATAACAATTTTGTTTACATGACTGTTTAGTTTCATGGAAGGGTCCATTGTCACGCCCAGATTAGTGACTACTTGTTTCTCTAACGGGGCTAGAGAGAAAAGGTTGAGTCATCGGCGTAGAAATGAAAAGGTATACCGTGTTTACGAAAAATATTACCTAGTGGCAGCAGGTATAAAGAAAAGAGAAGAGGACCAAGAATGGGCCCATGCTGTACACCCCACCGAAGAGCTGCCGATGTTGAAATAAAATCCTTAATGTTGACACATAAGGTTTTGTCAAAGAGTAGGCTCTAAACCATTTGAGGGCTGACCCTGTGATGCCCACCCACTGCTCCACCCTAGAAATCAGGATCTCATGGTCGATTGTGTCAAAAGCAGATGCAAGGTCCAATAGGACAAGCAGCACATAATCACCTGCATCCAGACCCTGGGGTGGCCAAAGATTAATCTATGGTGGACAAAGCCACCATTGGTCACCCCCCCCCCCCTCCACCATTGCTCCTGGCACAATAAAAATACATTTAAAATCTGCACTGCTTGGGACAAACAAAAAACTCCCTCTGTTCTTCTCCACAGTGCAACTCCTAGACACTTGAACATCTTGCACCAAAAACATTAATGTTTACTTACATTCTCTGTCCAACTCCAGTCCAGAAAAACACTCCTCTCCAAAACTACAAGCATTTACTATTCAAATCCTTCACTGATTGGGGTACATGGGCATACCACTTCTTTGGACTAAATTATTTCTATCTATAAAGTACCATGAAAAGCACGGAAGTGCCACATCCTGTAAATCCTGTAAAGGGAGGGGGAGTATTAGATATCAGTGACTGTAATGGTATTAATTTCCTGTGTAATGGTGCCTGCTGTGACAAGCACAAAGTTCCTGTCTTTGTTTTGTGTTCTTGTGAAATGTTACGACAGTCGACCCTACGGGTGACAGTTGGCATGACGCCTGTACCTGTCACAACGTTCCCGCCCCGTAATTATTGCCCCAGTGTCTGACTTGTCACCTTCCTCCTCCTCCAGACGTTTTTCCCAGAGCACATGGTTGCATGGTGCCAGGAAACCAATCATACGATTCCAGCCTCTCAACTCCTCCAGGTACGCACCTTCTCTTTCTCTCTGCTCGTCACTCCTCTTCCTCCTCGTCACCGTTTTGTTTCCCTCCGAGTCAGCACCTGCTCCATACTGTACAATCAAGCAGGCACACCTCACCCCTGACCCTTAGACAGTGTGTCTCGTCTGAGCCGGCTGTAATAACTACTGTTGACACGTGACCGTCTTGGTGCACAAACCACAAACCGAACACCTGTGATGGATGAACTTGGGCAATATGAAACAAAAAATAAATTTGTTTAAAAAAGACGACACAGATGTTTCTTGGGATTTAGAGGTGTTCCTTAACAGAACGAGGTTTAAAGACAGTTGAGCTGAGGGCCATGGATTCAGGGAGCCTGGGATCCATCCAGCTCACAGAAATCTTTTAACCCCTCCCGTCATACAGATGTATAGACATGGCTTTCTATTTACATTAGATATGAGATGAGCTGGACTCTGTTTGACGTCTTCTAAACACGAGACAATTAGAGAGCGGTCCGAGCCGAGGCGCTCGCTGCTCTCGGCTCATCCAGGTGTTCGCCATATTCGCAAATTACGCAAGAACCATTTGTCAGCGCAGCTCACACGAGGGCGGTGCGGCCCAGGAAGCGCTGTTTGAATTATCATTGCGTGTGAATGTGTTGGAAAATGGATGAGGCCCATCAGAACTTTTTTTTTCCAGAACACAGATGAATATGTGCTTCAAATACTGAAGAGGCTTCTGGAACAGTTTGCCTGTTGGCCACAAATCACAGCTCCACATCAGATTTATTAACTCCACCCGCCACTTTGTTTATCAACCGTGTCTGCCTTCCCATCGGGCCTCGTAGGGTTCAGAGCGTGCCGCGATGTCACGTGTCGTTAAGGTTGTAAATAGACTCGTTCTAACTCGGTTTGAAGCGAAACCTGTTCTTGAATCCCTTCGATTTCTCTGTCAGCATCACGTGAAGCTGACAGGATGTAAGCGTACAGCAGCAGACTAAAAACTCTGCCATAGTCCACCTTTCCATCAAAACACTTTAATTTTATCACTTTAAACATTTGACCTCCATCTCCCGTCAGTCTAAAGACCAACTCATGCTCCTTTCTCTTCTCACGCAGGGCTGAAGAGTCAGCACAACAAACTGAAAACCCAGAGAAATCTCATCTCAGCTGCAGCTTTATGGTTTTGAACTTTTATGCTTTAAAAAATGACCGTGTCCACATGGTTTGATCTTCTGATCACATAAAGTTTATTCACCCCAACAAGTCCAGCAGCTGAAAAACAAATTGTGGGCTTTAGGCAGAGAGAGACTATCTGCTGCTCATCCTGCTAGCCAGAGATTTTTATGGTCCCCCTGTTGCAAAGTGAAGAGGAGACTTGGAAATACCCCAACAAAGTTCAGTCAGGTCATCTGTACGTTTTTTTTGTTGTTGTTGAGACGTTTCATCCTCCATCCAAAGGACTTCATCAGTCCGAGGAGCCACAAACAAACTCAGTCCCACAAGCAGCACACTCCCATAGTGGACCAACCAGTTTACTGGTGATGAGATGGTTTCTGGAGCCCATCCTCTCCCTTGTTGACTCCTCTGATGCAGCCATAGCCAAAATGGTTCAAAACATCAAAAATCCAACAAAGTGAACTTTGTTGGATTTTGTACCTGGATTATTGAGCATGAACTTTGATGTTTTGAACCACTTTGGCTATTGCTGCCTGAGGAGCCGATGGGGGAGAGGGCGGGCCCCAGAAACAATCTTATCACCATCAAACTGGTTGGTCCACTATCGGAGTGTGCTGCTTGAGAGACTTGAGTTTGTTTGTGGCTCCTCGGACTGATGAAGTCCTTTGGATGAAGGACGAAACGTCTTTCAAAAAAAAAAAAAAAAAAGAAACCATCCAGATGACCTGACTGAACTTTGTTGGATTTTAAAACCTGGATTATTGAGCATGAACTTTGATGAAATTGGAAATACCCTCTGTCATGTTCATCTCCTGAGCATAACATGAAACATAAGTGAGGTACCAACTTCCATTTTGGTTTGGGGCTATATCTAGGAGTAAGAAAATTCAGTAATAAAAATGGGGTTGACACGTCAAAATTCAAGTTGGCTGCCACCATATACTGGTATATACAGTATATATGTATGTGTGTGTGTGTGTGTGTGTGTGTGTGTGTGTGTGTGTGTATATATATATATATATATATATATATATATATATATATATATATTTAGGAAAGTGCATTGACTGGAAAAGCATCATCAGGAAACTTGACTTGTTGTTATTTCAAGTTGTGAATGAGGACAAAGAAGAAATAATAAATCTGCATTAATCACATTATTTCTAAACTCCTCTCCCAGACGTGGGTTTATCTGTCAGACAGGTCTTACTTTGTGCATCTGAACAGTTTCTTGGTCTATGTGATGGGTAATGGAGCACAGGTTAGAGTCTATCCTGTTCAAGCAAAAGCATGAACGTTCAAAACCATAAAGCTAACCGGTAGACACTATTTTGTCACTACTCTTAACAAGACCTGCAGGCAAAGTTTTAATACTCCTCTGCTTCAGTATCAGAAATGGACTGAACTTAAAGACTGCTGTTACGACAGGAACCATTCTCTATAAAACGTGCCCAAAACCCCAAATACTATAAATAATTTTAGGAAGACCATGTGTCTTACGGAGCCTGTCGCCATCATGAGTGAGGAGGTTCAGTTTGTAAAGCAGAGCATGTGTGGGGCAGTGTGCCTACATCCTTTATCTGGTGAAAATGAAGACAAAGACTTAGAACAGATACTTTTCAGGAGCATACTTGGACATAAAAGTGGTATGTGCTGCACTTGCAAATGTTAGTATTTTCTCTTTTTAATGGGCACAAAATACATTATAATGTTTGCTTTGATGTATTTCAGTGTGTTCTGTTTGGAGCCCTTGTTAATGTCCTTAACAAACATAAGAAATTGCTACAATAATATCATACATTTCAGTAATCATATCTCTCTACAAACATGTTAAAAGTGCCACTCGTGTGAATCGTTTATTAATGTCTATTTAATTCATTGTTTGCTGCAGGATTTATCGCGTGTCACCCACCTTTTATGGATATATTGACGTTGTCTTTGTTTGCACAGAATGAATTGGTAATAACTGCTGGCATATTGACTTTAGTAAGGAGTGTGACTCTTTGGTAGAGGAATATTTTACTGCAACTCTTCGGCCACTTTCAGAAATATGGATGGAAAGACAAACCAAGCTGTGAACGTTCATAAATAAAAGTGGATGGTTTCTGCTGCAGCTCTGAATCTCTGGCAGCAACAGTGATGAAGAGTTTATTATAGGCTTCAGATGTAATCCAATCTTGCTCCCCTGGGGCAAAAGGCTCTGTATTTTTTTATTTTATTTTTTTTAAACAAACAGCATTGTGGGGCAAATGCATTTGAAATGATCTTTCCTTCACGTTTCCTCCTCCAGAACTTCCTTTCAGCCAGCAGCTGTCCAGAAATCCAGGGTTCTTTGTACATGAAGGAGGTGGGTCGCAAGTCGTGGAAGAAAGTTTACATGTTCCTGCGTCGTTCAGGATTATACTGTTCAACCAAAGGGACCTCAAAGGTGACAGCAAGTTCATTTAATCTTATTTCAGATTATAATCCTGTTATTGATGGTGGTGTGGGTCTCTGTCTGTCAGTGAACCCTCAGGCTGCGGCTGCCTTTCATGTTTTGACTCATTAATTATTTCTGTCTGCAGGAGCCCAGACATTTGCAGTTACTGGCAGACCTGGAGGACAGCAACGTCTTCACGGTCACCACGGGCAAAAAGCAGCACGGTGCACCCACAGACTACGAGTTCTGCATCAAGGTGGGTCTCAGAAAACACACAAGTGTGGTGAAATTTTAGTTGTCATGAAGTCCACCAAGCTGAGGAGTCTGATTAATTCTCTGTCCTAAAGGTTGTGACCCGTTTAATCTGTTTGAATGTTTATGAAGCATTCTTGTGATCAATTTTTCTTTGCATGTTTTTCGGCATTTTTCTTGTTCCACAATTTTTGTGCTATTTCAACAAATCATATATATCTCAAAACGTTCAGCTCATAACTTTTGCTACTGGTGCAACTTTTAACCTTTAGATCTGTTTTTCAGTCTTTTACTGCTCCTTTCACATTTTGTTCTGGTTCATCTTCTTTCAGCTTCTTTGTGCAAATAATAAAAAAAAAAAATTCAGCTACTTTCAGCTAATTTCAGATGTCTTAAAATTTTTGTGCTTCTTCTAACTTATTTATGCTAATTTCAGCTTTTTCTGCTCCTTTAATATGTCTGCAAGTTTCAGCTTTTTTCTGCTATTTCAGCTACTATTTGGCTGATTTTTGCGAATTTGAGCCTTTTCAGCCAATTATACATTTTTTGCACTGATTTCAACTTTTTTCAACCTAATTCAACAAAAATATGCTCTCCACTTCCTTCTGGTAATTTATGCTACTTTCTGCTTTTTAAGCTACTTTTCAGCTGCTTTTTATTTATTTATTTGCTAATTTCAGCTTTGTTCTGGTAATTTTCACAATTTTATACAAATTTTTTTTCTTATTTCAACAAAAATGTTCTTTCTGCTTTCTTCTGCAAATTTAAGCTTTTTCTACCTTTTCAGTTACTTTTTAAAATCATTTGTAGCTAATTTCAGCTGTTTTCAGATAATTTCAAGTTTTTCATTGGTCATTTCTGCTACCTTCAAACTACCAGTAATTCTTTTTTTTCTGCTAATTTCAGTTTGTTGTGCTCCTTTCAGCTTTTTTCTACTAGTTTCAGCTTTTTCTGTTATTTCAGCTACTATTCAACTGTTTTCTGCAAATTTTAGCTTTTTCAGATAATTCCACTTTTTTTTAGTTCATTTCAGTTTTTTCCGTTTCCTTCTGGTAGTTTAAGCTTCTTTCTGCCTTTTCAGGTATATTTGGCTAATTTCAGCCTTTCTTAGCTAATTAAGTTTTCTGCTCATTTCTGCTTATAATCCAATTTAGCAAATATGAGTTTTTTGTCTGCTTTCTACTGCTTGTTCTTTATTTCAGCAACATTTCAGCAGGTTTTTAGCTAATTTCAGCTGTTTCGCAGCAAGTTCTTCTGCAATAAGCATTCGCGCTGCATTTTCAGAGGAAATGCAATTTCTCTATTTTTGTTATAAACATTAGAAGTTTCAATAACAAAGATACAAATGATAGAGATCGTGTGACTCTAGTGGCACATCATATGTTCTTATTCTGCATCTTGTTGACTTGCAGCCCAATAAATCCCGGGGGGAGATGAAGGAGCTGAGGATGCTGTGTGCAGAGGATGAGCAAAGCAGGACCTGTTGGATGACAGCGTTCAGACTCTTTAAGGTAACACTAAACAATCCCCTTCACTTGAATGTTGCTCACTAAATCACACTGGAGCTTAGAGATTGTATAGTTGCAACAATTTCAGTAAGGAACTACATAATTTATCTTTGACCAGACTGTTATTAATCTGTTTGACGATGCAGCATGTTGATAGCATTGATTACTCTCATGTTTCTGTTTTATCTACAGTATGGGATTGTGTTATACCAGAATTATAAAGTTCCTCAACAAAGAAAAACCTTACTTTCACACTTTTCGGCTCCTGTGGTGAGTTCATTTTACTGAATAAAATAATGTGCAGAAACGTGCATTACTGTCTTCATCTGTGTTGCTGCTCTTTAAAACCCACATTCTGAGTGTTGTGTGTCTCTGGCTCCCCCCAGAGGAGTGTATCTGAAAACTCGCTCGTGGCGATGGACTTCTCAGGGAGAATAGGACGGGTGATTGACAACCCACTGGAGGCTCAGAGTGCTGCCATGGAGGAGGGACTCGTGTGGCGGGTGAGACACAGCTTCAGGTCTATTGTTACCACCGTCAAACCCCCGGGGAGCTCAGAAGATTACAATTGATCTAATTATGTAAAATACTTTACCTAAGAGTGAGAGGTGTGCCTCAATAATAACATCTACAGGTGACTGAGCTCTGAGGAAGCATATCTGCTATTTAGTTATCAGGTTTTTTTATTTTGTTGTTATTATTAATATTAATCTTATTATACGTCCTCGAGGGATGGACATATTATAGTATAGTCTCTGTCCATTCAAACACATGGATCATTACTAGAGAGGGTGTTGCATACATTTTTCATCACCTCAGCTATATCGGTCACAGATCAAGGTCAAAGTTAAAACTAGGCCTTTGTTTGTCCAGCCCATCTCTATAGATTGTTGTTTAATGGTTTGTTGACAGGTGTCTAATGTGCCGCATGAGGTACTCTTGTTATGTTTAACATGTGATCATTTTAAAACTTGTGTGAAATTCAAACTTCAGCTCTGGGTGTAAACATTGTCCCGTCTCTGTGGCTTCTCTTCCAGAAGAGAACAAGAGTGAACTTATTAGGATCTCACAGCCCCTTACACCACTCATCACTGAGCTCAGGTACCTCTAAACTCTTGTACTGGATGCTGCATCTTTCTGAACCTTTTTGTTTCAGGAGGTTTGTTCAAATCTACATTTTGTCTTCTCCACAGTCATTCACATAGCTCAGCTGTGGTTCTACGGCAGAATAACCAGAGAGGAATCCCATCGCCGCATCCACCAGCAGGGACAGGTGGATGGGTGAGTGAGCTGAAGTTGTTCTCACGTTCAAACACTTTCTGGATGTGTTTTGACTGTTTCTCACACCAATTTATTTCCCTCCTCCTGCTGTGAAGGTTGTTTCTGCTGAGAGTAAGTCAGAGCAACCCCAAGGCGTACGTTCTCACGTTGTGCCATCACCAGAAAATCAAACATTTTCAGATACTACCGGTAAGCATGTTCTTTTGTTTCATCATGTCCCACTTAGACTTGATTTGTCTTGGAAAAGAATAGGTTAAAGTAGAATGTTGTGTACAGTGATATCTTTCTTGTACACAGTTTTCTAAATGACCTCAGTCAATTGTTTAATTGTAAGTGAATTGATGAGCATATAGTATATAGCATATAATATATAGTATATAGCATATAATATATAGTATATAGCGTATAATATATAATATATAGCGTATAGCATATAGCATATAACGTATAGCATATAACGTATAGCATATAACGTATAGCATATAGCATATAACGTATAGCATATAACGTATAGCATATAGCATATAACGTATAACGTATAGCATATAACGTATAGCGTATAGCATATAACGTATAGCATATAACGTATAGCATATAGCATATAACGTATAGTATATAGCATATAACGTATAGTATATAGCATAGTCTGGGTGGACGGATCGGATGGTATCTGCATCCAGTTTCTTGGGATCCAATGTGGGATGGACCTTTACAAGAGATCCTTCCTGCCTACAGCCATCAGTATCTATAACATCTCTTAATGAAATGAGGATAACGAGTTACAACAACAAATAATTTCCCTTTGGGATTAATAAAGTATTTTTGAATTGAATATAGCATATAACGTATAGTATATAGCATATAATGTGGAGTATATAGCATATAATGTATAGCATATAACATATAACATGCAGTATATAGCATATAAGGTATAGTAAATAGCATATAACGTATAGTATATAGCTTATAACGTAAAGTGTATAGCATATTGCATAACGTATAGCATATAATGTATAGCATATAACGTATAGTGTATAGCTTATAACGTAAAGTGTATAGCATATTGCATAATGTATAGCATATAACGTATAGCATATAATGTATAGCATATAACATATAGCATATAACATATAGCATATAACGTATAGCTTATAGCATATAATGTATAGTATATAGCATATAACGTATAGTATATAGCATATAACGTATA